AGCCTGGCAGAAACGTTGCGGCCATGCATAAATAGGAGTACATGGTCGTAGCGGGAATGTACTAATGAATTACACTGAAGCTAGGATAGGTCGCAGGACAAAGAGAGTAGGAGAATAATTTAATCGGATTGGGCCCTCTGCCCTTATGTAACCCATGGAGTACTGAACGGGATATTTAAAGACGATACTGAGGGGGTTTATTTTATTTGTTATATCGATATCTATTTCGTCATCAAAACGAAGTCATTATGAAACCGTCGGCGATTGTTACTACTTCTACTAGCTGAGTGCCCGCAGTCTTACTGCGGGCGTATTCGACAAATGCTCACGGATAAAATGGACGTCTTCTAGGTTGTTGCGCCGTGTAGTCTGATACGTGTTTGCCGACGTTTCAGAGGCATCAAGCACTTGAAACAAAGGAGGGTGGGTGGGACACGTAGACGAATATGGTCCAGATGAGAAATGCACACAACACTTTAGTTACAGAACCTTAAGAAAAGAGACCACTTGTGACTCTCAGATGAGAATATGGGAAAATAATATTAGAAAACATGGTAAGAAAAAGGTGGACTAAATTAATTTCGTTTGACAGCTGAACGATCGTTAGCTTGTCGAGGACTCTACTCCATGGAGTTAAGTTACGTTAGGCGTATGATTGTAATAATGTTTACAATTACTCTTCTAAGTTTCGTCATATTACGTTTGGACTAATGCTTTCAGAAGAATACTTGGTAAAATGTTTGAAAAGAAATTAATTTAAATATGGCATTAATTCGTATAGTGTTTTATTATATCGTAATTATCTAATTAGATTGTTGTAAAAACAATAAATAAGTAGATGAAATGGTTTGGTATATTGAAGAATCAGGAAAATACTGTTTACTTAATACAATAAATGTTAAGGTTTTAAAAGGCAGTGTTTCTGATTCTGACAATAAACATCGTTTAGGTCGTTGAAAAGAACGTAGAAATGTCCCTGGTTAGGCAGTCGATGTTTGTTAATCAGTTCTTGCTTCTCTCTCATAAGAATAATTTATTATTTAAAAATGAAAGCTGGGGCTGAATTGGTGTTGTTATTACAAGAGCTAACAGCTCATCCGTCTGATATTTTATGTGGCTATTTTCGGGTTGATATTAGTATATCCGGCGAAGTGCTGTATACGCAAAGAATGTTTGTTTGGTTAGGGAACACAGAAGAAATTCGGTATTTTTTTGGGATCCAACTGAGTAAAAAAATCTGTCAGTCTGTAAAAACAATAAACTTAGTTTGCTATTGTGAAGGGAGTTTATGATATTAATATTGAAAGTTAACAATGCAACTACCTAAGCCCTCTGCAATTAATAATCCTAGTAATTCTTGATTATAATGATATTTCAATAATCTGCAACATGGCCATGGAGTTAATGCTATTTTCTTGGCTACGTTAAACTGAATTACAGGTCCCTAATTCATATGGAGAGGCCAGATCTTAAGTTTTAACATAAACACTAGGAACCAAAGTGACAATATAACTATTTTAAATGACTAGTTAGAATTTTTAATTACCGGCACGTATTATTATTCTTCAATAAAAATATCCCGCCAAGAACATTTTCAAATAATTCTGGGCGCAGCTGCAATAACTGCGAAACATTGTCATATTTATTTGTTGACGTGTTTTTAAATGATCTCGTTTCTGATTTTCTCCGTGCGCAGTACTACCTACTTTTAGTGCAAATCGATTCTGTATCTCGACCATGACCCTTTGAATAACGACCAGCTACATTAACGACTATTGGTTTTTATGACTCGCCGAGCGGTCGTTACTGACGTATCACGTAGCCGTTCAACCTACGAGGTGTTGACTGAAGCAGAACTTAAAATGTTCGCCTGTAATATAATCTGGTCTAATGAAAACTTTCTAATCACAGATGTCTGCACGCTGTGATTTTGTAATCTTATAGGGGCTATCTGTATTTTTTATATACCAAATATGTGACACGTGCTTTGAGGTCATTTATCTTGCCTGGATGGTTTGCCACGTGACTGTCCTCCAACTATGAAGGCACAGATTGCATAAGTGTTCGGTTCATAAGTAAGTAATATTATGGTATAGAGTTCATCTCGAGAAGATTACAGTTATTTTGCTGGTCAAGAAATTCCCCTTCATAAAGCAATGGTGGTGGTAACAGTTGCGACAAGCTAGTCGCTCAGACCAATTTGAAAAATTGTACTTAACAGTCATTGTCGTCATCAGTCTGGCTTCCTTCTGATTGTCGGCCTTGGTTTTCTGAAAGCGTCTTTTTCGGGATTCTGAAGCCTTGCATTGTTCGTGATTGTTCCGCACTTGGAGGTGCTTCAGTCAGTTTTATTTTGTTATTATTCCAGAGAAGGAATGCTCACCTTATCTCCGTGTCCGTTTGCCTGTCTTCCATTAATAACTTTCCAAACTAATTTTCCGATGTTCATTAAATTCTGTATGTAGAAGATTCCATTGCTACTGAATGTAGAATCCAGGAACTGTACGTACGCCTGACAACAGATCTTTTCAAAATATGAAAATTTAATGAACAAAGCTCTTATTCTTCGATCAAAATATATTGTGACAGCATAAAATTGTATTTGCTTTCTAATGTGATCGTCATTAATTATGGCGAATTTTTAAAAGTTTAAATTGCGTTTATTAAATTGGTATAGAATTATTTATCGTTTGTTTAAAACACATTCCTGTGGAAATGGTAAAACTATTTGAGGTTTCAAGAGGAGCGTATGTCTGCTGTTATCACGTACCTCCTTATTTGTCTGAAGTTTAATATATATCCAATGAACACATTTAAAACAGCTGGAATCACATATCTTGACATTTAAAACCATTAAAACCAATAGAAACAAATATTCTTACGTCAGTTGACTGAGAATATAGTCTTATTTGCTACCGAGCCAAAATTATTATGAATTCAGTTTTAAAGTTCTCATTGCGGCGAGTATGAAGATGGCTGTCTTGTGTAATGTAATATAAATTTATCGACGTTTCGGAGACGCTTACTGCCTTCATTATCAGGGCAATTATTTCGTGGTCTACTTTTCCCATTCTTTCACATTTCGGACTGTAAGAATGTTTATTTAAAACACAGGTCGCAATTCTTAAAGTCTCCTTCCTAATAAATACTGTGTTAAATATAACAGTATGGTACCCCCACATGGATGTTTCATTCTTGAATTAAAAAGATAATTTACAAGGCAAATACCGTATTTTAAAAATGTGTGTACAGAAACAATGATAAATGATGGAAAAATGCCACTTCGTACGTACTACGATTTAGAATATTTAACTTTAATAAGTTTAATTCCGTGGATGAAAGTAACAGTTTACATGCATAGAGCCGAATGGACAGTTACATAAAAGGTAGAATGAACTTTCGTACGTTATGCAATACGTCAAAAACAAGAAATATTTCTTTTCTTCAGTTTTCGTCGACTAAAATATTCAGCCCGTTGTAATACTCCACTGTCTTTGGTAGAATGAAAACAGAATAATGTGATATAAATAATACAACAAAAATCCCATCAGACCAAGGTGATGTTTGAACTTAATTTCTTTTTCAGTCTCCCAAAATCCATCCTCTTATCATCACTCATCTCTTATTTCGTTAGTTGCACTCGTCTGAGTGCAAGGGATGTAGACTTCATCCCCACTTTAATTTGAAACTTCGTCCTCTCTCTATCACAGAACCTCCTCCTATCCCTTCTAATGCATCTTTTCTTTTTTGTTTCTCCTAATTCTGTCTCGCTCATTGACGCCTCTTCTGCATTATCTCTATTTTCTCTCTTCTGTGTTCCTCTCTGGTTTCATTACTTCACGTTTTCATCCATTGCTTTCTTCTCGTCTTCGTAATCAGTAGTTGGTGTAAGTAGACTTGAAGGGAATTGTCCGCCTAAAATTCTTGTCACTTTAAGTGTTTTCTTAAGTTCATTTGATTACCGCTTAGTCCTGTGAGTGAGAGAAACCTGGTCTTGGTCATTTTCCTGATATCTGTTCTTCTTGTTCCAAACGCCCAATTTAAAAAAAGCTGCTTAAGGATTCTGTTACCCTTGTTCTCAAAATGTACTAGAAACTCTTAGTGTTTATTATCTCTTGTGGATTAAATACAGGCGAAGAGAACTTTTCTACATGTAAAACTTACATTTGTGAATGTAAATCAGTTTCAATGCTTGAAGACGGCCGTCTTCGGATTCACCTCCGTGGGAATCCTCCTGTATCTTATATGAAGTTTGTGTGGTGTTTATATTACATTTTGTGCAGCTACATATTTAATTATCCCCATGGAATAGAGTCTTTGAAAATCGCAGTCATTCAGACAGTAATAAAATTTACTGCTCTTAATAGAACCCGAAGTTTCATTCACCAGAACCCGCCTCTGTTTTCTATGCTGAGCCAGATGAAACCAGTCCACGTCATCCCACCCTATTTGTTTTAAAATCTGTCTTTATGTTTCCCTCACACGTACATAGAAGTCTCCCAACTGGTATCTTCCCTTCAGGTTTACGGGATAAAGTGTGTTCATTGCCGGGGTAGCTCAGTCATAGTATAGTGACTGACTACGAACTGGACGGTCCCTGACACGGCCAGAGGATTTCTCGTCTAGCCTCTGCTTCCTGACCAGCCTCGTGTCCACTAGGTATCTGGGCCCTTCCCCGGGTATAAGGCGCGGCCAGGTCGTGACACTCACCACTCACCCCTATCTAGTGCCGAGGTAAAGAATGAGTAGGAGGTGTAACAACTCTCATCCAAAACGCCTGAATGGCGTGTAGTGGGTTAGCTTTACTTTTAACCGTTTTCTCTCCTTCCCATGGGTGCTAGGTGCCCGCTCGTATCATCTTCCTCGGTTTGATTATCAGAATATTTTTTGAGGACTGCGTGCAAATTATGTAGCTCCTCAGTATCCAGGTTTTTCCAGCCTCCTACACATTGTTGTTGACAGTCCGGATATGAGTTTCTGAATAATAGTGCTTGTTCCAGATCACATGTCGTCGCTGTGTAAGAACCACTTCCTGGCGCTCCTGTACCGGAAGATAGACGGGGCGGTGCTCCAGTCTCAGAACGAGAGAAACCTCGACTGTGTCATCACCTTCCAGACGCATTCCATCCTGCAGCGCTTTATGCTTCGCTTCGATCTCTTGCAGCTTGACTGCAACGACCATCTTTTCATATACGATGGCGCTCATGCAGTCGGCAGCTACAAGGTAGGCGTGTCGCTCTGACGTCAGTTTCATTACGTAACATTTTACATTGGTCTTTAAGTATCTTAGCGCAATTCCAGAACGTTCTCATACCTTTACAAAAATTACTATAACTTATCAACTGTCTTGTAAGTTCGGAAGTACCAACCATGGGCTACCGAGAAACGTCGATATCGCACAGCAAGAAACCAGACAGTTCATTCTGTACAGCACTCACGCTTCTATTGTTATGCCGCTGGAGCAAACGACGAGTTCTTTTCTTGTTATTTCTTTTCCGATGCGAAGTTAATGCGATGAACGTTCGTGAATATGGTACGTACATAAGATCCAGACTGCTTTTCCTTGAAATTCCACTAAGCCACGGCGTGTTAGTTTTGCTTGTTATCTTGGATGTAGGATGTTTTACCTCAAAGCGTTAGCTGTTATATTCAGAATTTATATAAATCAGGCATTAAGAAAATATTTATAAAGCATAATTTGTGCTGATCAATATTGGGTAGAGAGCTGAATTGTGAGCTCTGCTGCGCCTATCATTTCTTAAATAGAACTGAAAATTATTCCTTTTTCCGACATCGTTAAGTTTAACATTGACAGGTCTTACTAAAACCTGCCAGAGAAACTGAATTTTGGCCCCTATTAAACAACACTGTGTGAACCTAAATGCACTGTCAAACGTATTTATCGAAATACTCACCGCCGAGAGAACCTCAAATCTCACGGTCCCTAATAGTTTCAAAAGTGAAATCATGAGGTGGAAGTAACAGCATTTTGACCTTGTTCGTTCGATGGCAGTCCTGGTGTGCCCTGTCACAACGCAGGCAGGCGACGCCGTCAAGGCGTCACAATTCTGATGGATCACCCCTCCCCACCCCCACCCCTCTCATCTCTGGAGGCACGGCTGCCGTTAATTGCCCGGCGCCCTTCGTCCAGTCTATCTTTCTCTTGCATCGTCCTCAAAAAGAGTACGAGCTTTGTATAAAAGTATGTTGGCTCTCGAAGTAGGATTTATTACTCCTTGAAGTAGACTCTTCCTTGGAAAGCTGGTAGTTACTCATCTGGTTATAATATTTCCCTCATATTATGGAACCATAAAGTTCATTGTCCTGTTTAAATAGACCCTCCACCCACCCTTTTCTGAGCCACCCGATTTAAGTCCAGTCCTATGTCCACAGGTTTGTGTTCCAAGTGGTCTCTTCCTGTCATGTTTCACGACGAAAGTTTTGTTTGCATTTCTTAACTTCCCTATGCGCGCTACATGACTCTCCTACATTATCCTAACTGATTTTATAAAATGCAAGTTATGAAGTTCCTCCTTATGTAATTTTCTTAATGTCCCTCTGTCTTCGGTTCAAATACTGTTGTCAAAACCTTGTTCTCCAAACAGCCTCAGACAATTTTATGGTTTACTTTACCTAAATACTTTCGTGTTGGTCTGTTATTGTCAGAGATGCAGATATAATTCTTTTTTGAGAGACCTAGACATGGATTGTGATATTTAAATTTATAGTATTGAGGTGAGTAGTAAAACGCAGGATGTGAACGTGTGAACTTTAAATGAATATCTCAAGATGCGGTATAGTTGCGTGTTCTAGTGAACACTGGGAGGAAAGTTTGAGTTTCAGTACAGGCTACGAATATTTCGACCAACTGAGCGACTACCAGTTCCTCTTCATTGCAACAAGATTCCTATGTGAGCGTGTCCTCAGATTCTGTGCCTAGAGATTTCTTGCTTTGGAGAGGTGAAATTAATGCCACTTCAGTAGGCTGTGGCTCAAGGGAGGATTTATCCTTGTTAGAAATATATCACACGTTGCCATAAACGTCCAGTGGTATGGCTGTAGTATTCTTGACGGCTGTTTAAATTC